CCTTGATTCTCACCCATGGGCACTCGACCCTGTTGTCACTGTCGATAATCTCTAGGCAGTCGCAGCACTCCCTAACATACATGGCCACCCCATCACCTCTCATTCCTTTCTTGTCCCTTCTGAAAAGTTTATACCCATCAATGGCAGCACTCCAGTTGTGTGATTCATTCCACCATGTTTCCATGATAGCTACTATATCGTAGTTAACTCCATGTACAGTGGCTTCCAGTTCCTCCTGCTTATGGCCCATGCTGGTTTAGATTGAAGATGCATTTCAGCTGGGCTAAAGGCCCTGCCACCTTTTCACAGGGAGAAGTCCTAATTTCTACTAGGCCACTTTCAGGAGCTCCCATGGTTACTAATGCATCAGTAACCCTTGCATCTTGGTTGCTATATGGAACTCCATCCCCTACTTCCAATGGGACAGGAGTCCAAGCAATCTCACTAGCGAACCATCCCACAAATGTCGGTGCTTCACCCATCAGCTCATGTCTAGTGAGTTGTGTTACATTCCCTTCCCCCTTCAGCTCTACTTTAAAGCTCTATGAGCTCTGCTAACCCTAGTCCCAGGATTCTTTTCCTCCTTTGAGACAGATGTACCCCATCTCTTGCCACCAAAGCTGGTGAAGTATCAATTGATCTGTGACTGAAGCACCTGAAGCCCTGCCTGTGGCCCCAGTCTCGGAGCCAGGCACTGATCTGCTGACCCTGTTTATTGCCTCAGACCTCCCTGAAACTGGTGGACTGAGGAGAACACTACTTGTGCTCCCGATCCCTTAAATCGGCCATGCCAAGCCCTTGAAATCCTTCTTCGTTGTCCTCAAACTACTTGATGCAATCTCATCGCTGCCTACCTGAAAGCCCATTAATGGGCAGTAATCCAAGGGCTGAACTGGGGTAGGGAGTTTTTTCTTAACGTCCTTAACCCTGACTCCTGGGAGGCAGCAGACTTCCCCCTGAGGAGTGGGCCTCAGCTGCACATGGGACCTTCCACTCTCTTCAGAAGAGTCCCCTATGACAAGGACTCGTCAGTCTTTCTTAACTGAAACTGTTTTGATGCATGGCTTCATCCGATGGAGCCGCAGTGGTGCCCCCGAGCTGGGCGAGTTGCCTTCGTGCTCATCACTCAGTTCCCATTGCAGAAAGAACATCGTCCTTGTTTGACAAGGGAAGGTGGAGCAGTTTCTGGGTGGTGACGCCTGCCACGCCTGTTGCGCCACATAGAGACGCGTCTCCATTCTTGCTGTTGTTCCCCATTCTCTCAGTCCATGTTGGCTGTGTCCAGCCAGGTGGAGAGGCAGGGGAGCCTCACGAGCTGCATCTGATACTGGGGCTGTCTCAGGGCAGGGAGGATGCAGCTCCATCTCATGCTCACACTCCCCAGTCGATCGTTCTCAGCTTCCTCACCTACCTCACTCCTACAGTGGAGTTCTTCCACTTTACTTGGACAGCTTTTAAACACTGAGTGTATTTCCTGTGAGATAATCAAAAGCCTGAAGCAGCGTGTGACCTTGCTCCCCCCATGCCCCCACAGGGATTTCTGGACTCTGTAAATGCTAAGATTCTATAAATTTTACTGTTAAGTTTTAAAATTTCTCATTAGAAATAATTGAGCCCACTGCTTGATGTCTGCTCTCACAGGTAGGTTACTCTGAACACCAAGACTCCCGAAAAGTCTTCAAAGGCATGAGTTCAACCTTCAAAACAAATAAAAATGTAAGAACTGAAGACAGAAAATCTTTGTTCTAGCTGGGATTTTCAAACACAACCTAAGAGGATGGATGTGTGATTACAGACAGCTACTGAAAATCTCATCCAATTCTTTAAAAGCAATTTTTCAGCCCTTTTTACCCTAGCTGAGATGTAGCCACACAGATGATAGAGCAACACCTCCAGTAACCTTCCTCATATTCAAGAGGAGCTGGAACAACGCTAAGGTACCACAGACCATCAAACAAGATCACTTTAAGGAAGACAAAAGCATTTCTGAATTTTGCTTCACAGAAAACAGTGGTTCATAACACACTAAAACTTTGTGATCTGCTACCATGAACTTTATCTGTTTTTCAAATTATATCTTATCTTACAAAGCCAATTTACTTACAATCAATCCCATTCCCACCAGTACCAGCAAATACCTGGCTTCAAAATTTCAAGTTTATTTTCTGAAAGAACCTCACTTTGCTATCCAGGTTTAATTTGCTCCAAAATGCAGCACATCTGCAGTTTTCCTTTCCCCTTGTAGTCTGAGGAAAATATTTCACCTAAATACAACTCTGGCACTATTACCAGATGATGCTAGGGTGGAGGAGATGGGGGAAAGGGAATTCAGATACAGGTCTTATGGAATATGTTCACAGAAATTCACTTATTTAGTGCAATATCCAGGGTATGGAGACCAGTCTTCCATCAGTGGCACAAGGCTTGCTATTACCCTGTCACTTCAGCATCTTCCCTCTCATCTGCCTCAAGCAGTACACATTTAAAGTAACAGCTCTGAGCACCTTCAACTTGGTCAAAAAAAAAAAGTTTAAAAACATTTTCCTTCCTAAGCGCCAGTAACCAGTATCCAAAACTCCAAACACTGAAACCCAGCAGCAGACAATCACAGAATCACAGAATACGAGGAGCTGGAAGGGACCTTGAAAGCTCATCCAGTCCAACCCCTGCCAGAGCAGGATCACCCAGACCAGGTCACACAGGAACACGGCCAGGCGGGTTTTGAATGTCTGCAGAGAAGGAGACTCCACAACCTCTCTGGGCAGCCTGGGCCATGCTCTGGCACCCTCACAGTGAAAATGTTTTTCCTCATGTTCAGGTTGAACCTCCTATGCTCCAGCTTGGGACCACTGCCCCTTGTCCTGTCACTGGACATCACAGAGCAGAGCCTGGTTCCTTCCTCCTGACACTCACCCTTTACAAATTATAAACATTAATGAGGTCACTCCTCAAGTCTCCTCTGCTCCAGGCTAAACAGACCCGAAAACGTGTTTTGTGCAGCTCCTTCAAGAAAACTTCAAGCAGTTTCTAGAAAGGTAAAACAGCCTAAACAGGGCCCTGCAACCCCCAGTCCTGGGGCAGCCCAACACAGTCTCAATGTGGAGATGTCTGAGGGAGCAGACACTGGAGCATGCAGAGGCGATGACTTCTTCTGAAGCTATGACCATACAACACAATCACTTTTCCCAGTTTCTCTAGGCTTTGGGGTTGGGTTTTTTCCCCAGCTTAATTAGATGTTTAGGTTTCTCCCCCCTTCTCCATACAGGATGGATTTTGCTAAGGCGCATGAGCAGAAGCATTTTGCCTGTTTTGGTTCAATATCCCAGCAGTCCATCACAGGCACATGCTGATCTGCCCAATTTCACATCCTCCTCTGGGGCAGAAGCAAGGCCAAACACACCAGAGCCCACCAGAGCAGATGTCTCATTTCCCCTCTGCAGGGGCTTCTCCGTGCCCTCGGCCACAGCAGGTTTCCATGTCATGAGCTGAGGGCATGGCTGCCTTTGGAAAGAACTAAAGGCACCACAAAGCACCCCTCATTCGCTGTTCATAGTAGGAAGGGTGCGAAAACTTCAACACAGTGAAGCTTAAAGAATATATTTTCTAGTTGTAATCAAGTAATCTCTTAATATCATCACTCAAGTCCTCTGGCAGACTGCAGTAGGCTATAGCAGACCACGGTCATAAAGTAAAACATTTGTATATGCTAAAATTAGGAGGGAATTTTTAAGAAAGTAAAATTTTGAGTCCGTCAATGGATGCTTTGATGAAGCACTTTGTAAACTTTATTATCTAAGAGATAATTTTACATTACTGTTTACTTTATCTTGTCCAGTCTGAAAACAAGTTACTCACCAGTTTGACTGCTTCCTGTGCTGCATCTTTACTACAAAAGGTAATGAAAGCATAACCTCTGTTTTGACCAGAAAGAGGATCCATCATGAGGCGCAGATCCCAAATGGGACCAGCTTTCTCAAAGAGTGGTACCAATTCATCTTCATACAAGTCTCGGGGAATCTTGCCAACAAAAACCTAAAAAGGAAGAGGACACAAACAAAGCTTTCAGAAATTCACACTTACTTTGAATGCTTGAAAGCTCCTGGGCAAGGAAGGACATCACAGCATAAACCATCACCGCAGAAACCCTGCAGCCAACATTATCGGATGACCTAAGTCTTCTAAGCCTCGTTCTCTTCATTCTGGGTTTTACATATGGAAAACCTGGGCTTGTTACTTATGTTGAAGAGGTCAATGGTTCTTACCTGGTTATAATTTTGGCAATTAAAAAAGAACCTAAAGACTATCTAGTTGGGTAGCCTAGATTAAAGCAGGCCAAGCATTTCCTTTCTCTTGCAGTATTTTCAGATCATCCTGTAACTCAATCTTCACTAGAAAGCTACAGAGACTAAAAAAAAAAAATATACAAAACTCCTTAAATTGCCTGATTTTCCACTTTTAATATACACTGTAATCTGATTTTCAGTCTGCATTTGTTTCAGCCTCCACCAACTGAATATTTTAATATTTGTCTGAGAAAATCTGGAGTGCTCATGTTTCTGTTCCTTCCACAAATTGTTTAATCACTGCAACTCTCCCCTAAATTCTGCAAATCTCTGAGTTGCTAATACAAGCAAAACATACCAAACACCCATTAAGACCAAATTCTGATTATTTTATCTAAGCGAGGCCGTGCCATAGTCACATCTGGTACCAATGGCTTAGCAGGTAACTCTCAAACTAAAGACACTCAGGGTGCTCATGTAAGCACTGACACCAACAAACTCCTGAGAAGAGTGCGATGAATCCAATTTAAAACATGTGGAACACAAATAATTTTCCTCAAATGACGGCCAGAACCTCTCAGATGTTTGTGTTACACAGATATTACCAAAATTCAGCTCACATTTCTTTCACTTAGCTTAGCCTCTCTTGGTTCAGTGTGAATGTTGACTGATCAAGACTTATTTGCTATTGGGGAAAAAAGGCATGGATTTATCACGCTGAGGGAAAATTTAATGGCAGAGCCCACAGGCTTTTCCCTAGAAAGCTTAGAAATCCTTACACACAGGTACTGCCATTCCCATTAAACCGAGAACATTCAATTCCAAAATCCACGCACAGTTTTTACAGACAAAAACCTGGTCCCACCATGGAAATGCACAGGACAGGAACTCCAAGTTGCTGCTGAGACAGTGAAACTGTCAGTGAACTCTGCACAAACTGCAGCTGGTTTTAAGTCAGTCAAAAGTCAACATTAAATTCTCTGGTTCAGATGCCACTGTTTCCAGCAGAACCTGAAGGTGACACACCAGAAGACTTCAAAAAAAGAAAAACCTTAATCCAAATACAAATAAAGTTTAGTCTAGGGTAATTTCCATTTCTAACGGAAGGACTTGCTAACTCGGGGGCAGTAGCTCACACCCAAGTAAATTTGCTCTGAGACTGTGAAGTTAACACTTCAATGAACTGCAGATCAATCCCAGCCATGACAAACACCAGGTGAACGTCTTTTAAGAGTCAGAAGAAACAACTGCAGTAACTTTTTTTAGATGTTGAAAAGCTGAATAAAGTTGCTGAAATACCAAAGAATGCAAATATCAGGTGTCATTTCGCTTTTTAGTTCCACAACAAGAGTACCGTGCAAAAACTGGCATTAATCAGTGAGACAGTACAAGAGATCTTGTCTAAGCAGGATGCAGCTGCATCACTTCAGGGCCTTTGTTGGCATCACTGACCATTACACTTACTTTTTCCACTTTTACTTCCTAAAGAACCTGTACAAAGTACTCCCTTTTACTTCTTCCTTATTACTGTTTCAGAAGATTCATTATGAAAAGACAACTAGGAAAAAAATCCCATTTTGGTTTCCTGAACAACTTCACAGAGCACTGTCAAGGGGTGCGATCCACCTGCGCTCTCTGGGTGATGGAGCTACTTCAGGCCAGGCTGGATGGGGCTCTACCCAGTAACACGGCCCTGGTGTCTGCAGGAGTTGGACTGGGGGAGCTTTAAAGTTTCCTTCCAACCCAGACCATAATGTTCAATTCCCTGATGCATCCTTCAGTTAATTCAACAACTGAGCCTCTCCTGCTGCCATAGCGAGCTCACGGCTGTGGACGGCAGCGATCTAAAGAGCTTCTTCAAAACCTCTCTCGTTTTAACAGCGCTCTTGCTCTTCATGTGCTTTGCAGTCAATTTTTCCAAAATCCCAGTGCTAATTTATGTAGGGCACATGACTGCTTCACGTCTCCAATCTTAATTTTTTTTAAAAAATAAATAAATTAAAAAATCAAAGGGGAAACCAACTCTGGCTTAGTGCAAAAACCTTCAAACCCCCAGTGTCCTTCCAGCACCAAAGCTACTTTTCAGCTGTGCACTAAATCCAGCACAACCTTGGTCTGAGTCAGCTCCTGCTGAGCTTCTTCCACCAGCGATTTCCAGGTCAGTTTTTACAGTGCACTGCAAGTCACCCTCACAACCCTTCTCTGACCATGCTCCCCCAGAGGAGCACATATGACACCACCTCCCTACTGACAAAGCCCAAAGTCATTCTGCATTTCTGATAACGCTATCCCAAGATGCTGTTTATCATAAGCATATCCAGTAAACTGCAGCTCTGAAAAGGACAGGCAGCAATTCTACTTCATACAGTGTAAACTGTTAAGACAGGCATCTAGCCTTGCACATCATCTTAGCACATCAGGGGCAAATAATCAATTTACAGAACTGACTGAAACCAATCCAGCAATCGGTACAGACTCGGGTCAGTTGCTCTCTTCACACCAGCTGCGCTGGACTGACTTTGCAAAGTGCTTTCCCCTTGACCCTGTTACAGTGGGGTAAAGGGCTGGTATGTCACAGTTGCAAATGAAGCCCCTGTTCTTCAGATGATATCTTAAATGGCATTATATTCATTTACACCAAAAGGTGAAGGATGGAAGTCACATACCACATCAGTTACCTCTGAAACTGCTGGTGTAACATTAGTCTGAACAGGCTACACACATCAGATTTTTTTTTTATCCCTCCTCTAAAGAAAAAAAAAAATAAATACACACACACACACACACACACATATATATAAATGATCCTTCAGATTTCCTGAACTTAACAACTAAAAGCTTCTCAGTCAGCAGAACGAAGATCAGGAGTGAAAAATATGTATTTTAACCTGTTTAGCAAATACAGCTCAACCTCACTAGGTATTACCCACAAATGCAGACACCACAGATACGACACTGGATTTCCCATTCAGCATTATCCAACTTGAACACCAAACACTTGCATTGTGCTTCAGCATCCCTGACCAGTAGTGGACTTATGACTAAAATTCCTTTTGTTCCTTACACACTAGAACTACTCTTCGCTGTGAATGAATTTAATCAAACACTTAGTACATTGTCTTCCCTTGTCTGCACCTCATTTCAAAAGTTCCTGAAATGGCTATGTAGAAGTTACTGCTGTCTCTGCATTCTCCAGTGCTGCTGAACAAATGCCTTATTTTAAGCCCCTGCAAGACGACTTAAAATTAGTTTTGTGTAAAAAAAAAAAGAAAAAAGAAAAATGAAATTTAAGAATATCAAATATTTTTTCAGCACTGCTTTCACATACATTTCAGTAAAACGATAAACTATGATTAGCATAGAGCAAGAACATCTAAGCACAGCTTGGTAAGTTATGCAAATCATCAGTTACCACCTTGCAGTTCAAGGATCCATTCTAATTAATCCCTCACATAAATGAATTTATTTTTCTTCGTGGAATATGAATATTCCCTTCAGAAATCACCCTTACTGTGACACTTATAAGCACCTTCCTGATTACATACATAAAAGCTTCAGCATCTCAAAAGATGCAAGAATAATCTAGAAAATGAAAGATGACCAAGACATTGACTATTTTCTTAAACTTAACCTAGTGGTTTATAGAAAAATATCCAAAAGAACTGCTGTATGACCATCCAGTGTGACTGAGAGTTCTCAAAGTGTTTAAGCTACAAAACAACCCCCTAGAGACCAAGAGTTTGCAGATCAGGTAAGCAAGGAAATGCACAGCTGAAGCATTTTCAGAACCAAACTGAAGTTTGCTCACAGCTTCCTGCCCAGGTGAAACGGCTCAACCACAGCCTTGAATTTCCCATGTGTTCACCGGCCAGACTTTGGCCTTTCGGGAAACAAAAACAAGGGGGAAAAAAAAAATCCTTAAAATCCTTGGGATTATCTTTAAGAACAGTGGGTGCTAACAGAAGGTCAGAAAAAGCAGAGAAAAGAGATCTTGGCATTTTTAAGCAAAACGAAGCAGCATTGTACAAGCCCCTTGACGATACAGTTACCAACATCTGCAGGTGCAAATGACAAAGGCAGCAGAAGGAGAAACAAACACCCAAATAACTGCTTCATCCTCATCCAAAAACCACTCCCATAAATACCACCAAGTATCAACACCACTATAATGCTTTACATTGGAGCAGCAAGGCCTTAAATCAAATACTCAAGTTTTATATCAAAACCTATTGCAGTTATTTTCTCCTCCAAGCTTCTGTACAGCTGTAAGTCCTTTGACTTTGTTACAGACTCACTTTCCAAAAAGGCCCAGCTGCTCCTAAAGCCCACTGACTTGAACACGGTGCACAGCTTCACCAACAAAACGTTCACAGAGGCAGTTTGTTAGTGTTCCATGCGCTGAACACCCGTAAAACCACTTCTCAATACTTCAGTCTTACTGTACATTCAAGTGTGTATTGGAAGAGAGTTAAAGCTATAGTTAACATGTAATAAATTCCACTATGTTTTAAAAAGACAAGTTAGCTGGTGTACAAGTATTTATAGTAGAAAGATCTGATACATCTTGGGAGAAAAATGGGTACCCAGTGTGCGTCTTAACAGTCCTTAGGTACCCTTAAAAACCACAGCTTTGCCATTACAGACATCAGTGACAGCTCTGGCCTCAACGTCCCCATGCCAGCACAAGCTACCAAGCCTCTGTAAGTTCTAAACACAAATGATTCATTGCTGCAATTCAAAGGGATACGTTTTGTTGGGTTTTGCCTATTTTTACCCACAATATTTGAAAAAGTAGCTTTTACACTCCTATATAATCAGAACTATCAAGGACAGAAAGGAAGCAGTTCTCAAAAGCTTAAGGTTAACACCCTATCTCTACAGCCTAACCCCTCCTCTAAAAAAAAAACAACCACAAAAACCCAACCCCTAAAAGACCCACCTCATTCTGGGCAAATAAAAGTGACATAATAATCTGCAGTCATTTGTGTCCAAACATGCTCTGCCTACTCTACCAAATTCCAGGATCATGTAGAAGTTGTTGAGCTCAACAGCAAGAGCTGCGACTAAATGTAATAAAGCACACACTGGCTTCAGCAAAGCATTCAGCATCTCAGGCGGTCAAACGAAGCAGCATGTGTAAAGCAATAATTGGTCTTTAAATCCTACAAAATGTCAGCAATAAATTGATTTGGTAGAGGTCTGGTTTCTGTAACCAGTTGGCTGGGTTTTGCTACAGCCTCTAATGCCAGCTCATGGGAGCAGCCTTTACGTTCTTATCTTCAGGGAGCTCCCAAAAGCTGCCCATTCAAGCAAGCTTCAGGAAATTTCAAGCTATAAAAATACACTCTTAATGGTATTAAAGCACAGCCAACTTTACAGCTTTCCTGTGACTTCCTGGAGAGGCTAACCACCACCAACAGGACAAAATACCTCATCTTCCTCAAAAAACGTTCAGTCATTAACAGAATAGTTCAGCTGAAAGGGACCTACAGCAATCATCTGCTCCAGATGGCCGGCAGCTATGGGCTGAACAAAATTTCAACCATGTATTGAAGGCATCGTCCAAACGCCTCCAATGCTGCGAGGATGGGACATGTGAAAGAACTGGTTCCCAACGTCAATGAAGCATGGTGCAATTAATAACACTTCATATGATCACGAGTGCCCTGGCAACACCATTGAATTGGTAAACAATTTGTGAATGCAGAAATGCAAAAATTTACAAAACAGAAACAGCTACACGGACTCCTTCAGTGCAGCAGCTTCACTATCAGTCCATGAAAGCATCAAGGATGTTTTCATATAGACTGAAACAAAAGCAAATAAGTGATTCCTTAGTAATTACTAACCCAGTTGTCCTCTTCAAAACTCTGTACCTTTATACAAAACCCAAGTCTCTCTCACCTTCAGCACGCTGCATGAAATAAGCCTTGCTACTGTCGCTTAAACTGCACTTATGTTACAGTCAAATACTCGTCAGTCATGCTTTTAAGTTACCTATACAGCTAATACCTACATTGGTCACTTTTTAAGCAATGTACCATAAGCTTCAGGGTAAACCATTACATTTGACAATTTAATGATTTATTTTACATTTTCAGAAATTTTACATAGTACTTCCTAGCATATTCCACCTGCTTTCCCCCTCCTCAATCTATAACCCTGTCTTTTGCAGACTACTAGGAGTAAGACAGACATACACAAAGAAAGCTTTCCTCTATGATACTTTAACCTTTCACTTATAACACAGTCTGTTTTCAAGTATTTCTTATTTGCCAGTTTGGACAAACAAAGAAAATAGTAGGTTGGTCTATATATACTGACCTCTGTCCCAATACCAGGCTGAACCCCAGAATACACAGTATCTGGAGGAGGGCCCCCATATTTCCTCTGTCCTGTAGTGACATCCAAAGTGTAACCAGTCCTCTCTAGCAAAGCCTGAAAAACAACCATCATGTTAGTTATGGGGGGGGAGGATAGTGGGTTCAAATATAAAGAACTAAAAAGTGTCCTAAGATAAGCACATAAGATCTGCTCCTTGCCACATTTGATAACGAGGTCTATATGGACAGACAAAACTAACCAAAAAAACACTTGTTATTTTTTAGGGTTTAAAAAACACCACCACGAAGAGCAACATTTATTTTATATACAAGTTCAGTGGAAAGAACTTGTTTTTCTTTTCCCTTTTTTTCCATTTTATATGTGGCACCTGAAGAACTCCAGGCAATTCTTTTCACCCACTCCGTACTCAGGTTTCTGCAGAAGAGTTTCTTGTTATACCAATACCTTGTTGAAATGTCCAATCAGTCTTAAAGCAGTTTTATGACTGCAGAAAAGCTTTAACATAACAGGAAAATCAAGATAATTCTTAAATAGTTACCAGAGGTTTCGCAGACCTTACATAACATTCAGTTCATGCATTTTGGCAACCGTGTGACGAGGAAGATGTGCATTTCAAACCTGCACTGTCTCCTTTGAACCTCTATCATGCACACATTTCTTTAAAGCCAAGTGTGAAAATCCAAGTAGCATCGATGCTCTTAAAGTACATCCGAAATTACTTCAGTCCCCATACAGGAAATGTATCAGGTAGTACAGAATAAACAGTATTTTCTAAATGTTACCTTAATCTTTGCTTCATCTGGTCCCTTTGTTGATTCCTGTACTTTGCTGCCTTGTTTCTCTCTTTGCCTGTAGGTCTTCATAACTCCACATAAAAATGCACTTTTGTTCTGTAGATACAATTTACAAAAGAATTCAATTGTGCATATGAAAAGCAATTGAATCTTACCCTCCACACCATGAGGTCTCTATATCAAGCTAATGCAGTAAGCAAAATGCCAAAAGAACCTTTTAGAAAAATATAACACTTAATTGAACAAACTTGTCAGATTGAAAAAAATCATCAGATTCCACGTAGTACTTTTACCTTCTTTTCTCAATAGCACACTCCTTTTTATTAGACGGGAACTTTTGCTTTGCACTCAAATACCTATGTATTTAAGGCAACATTTAACAGGCTTGTGATTTGGGTTGGAAACATTAGAATACAGCAACAGCAATGAATTTCAGAGTCGCAACTCTCCTGCCAACCGTGCCAGAACACTGTTTATGCTGATGTGCTCACACTCCTGGAGCTCTCACCTTACCTGTACATGCGACAGGTCACTTTCTTTAAACTGCTGTAATACAGAGAGGGCTCCTTCTTCATTAAATTCCCTAAGAGCATCAATTGCTCTTTCATCAAGATCGACATAAGCTACCAACCCTAAAAGTTAAAGATAAAGAAGTTACAGATTTCTATTGAATTTCATACAAACTAAGAACTATGCAGTTTGCTTTTAAAGTCAAAAAGTTACATTCCATAGCAACAGAATTACACATTTAATATCATTATATATTCCTACACAAGTATATGAAAGAACATGAGTATAACAATGAAAAAAGTCAAATTAAAATGTATATACCTAAGCACTAACTGATGTGCAAGATTATACTCCATGTATAAGTTTGCTAACATTCAGGAATTCAGAAAAAGCAGTATTACACACCAGAGGTGGAAACAGTGAACTCTGGCTCACTTCTAATCATTTGGATTTTGTTTGTCTTTCATGTTAAGTTGCACACTTCCTTCTGTGGAATGGAGCTGTTCTGCAGTGAGCTGACATGTGAAAATTACAGGTACCCTGTTGTGCGTGAAAAAGGAGCTGCCTAACTGACACTCAAACACTTCTGAAGCTCTATCCCACAAAACATTAGGAAGTAGAATGATTTTGTTCACTTTCCTCCAACTTCAAAAAGCAAAAATCAGTGTATTTCCAATATGTCTGAATTTTTCTTTTTCACTCATTTTGTTGCTCTATGCAGTTCAAGAGCCAGCATTCAAAAAGGTATTATTTCAGACCCTTCTATGTACCCGAAAAGGCTAATGTTAATGTTACAGGTACAGACTCCCCCAAGAAACACTGGACCAGTTCTGAAGCATTTTTTCTGTTTAAGGATCTTTGCAGTTATTTCTTTCCTTTTGTAATGCATAAGCTGTGGAGCGTGAATAGTACAGACTAAGATTTGCACTTTTTAAACTAAACAGCAAAATTTAGGACAGATCCCAAGAACTTCACACTCTTTGCAACAGCTTGATCTCCAAAATACACAGATGATTTAACTGCTACTTGATTTCAAAAACGCACAGTAGTGCCAAGCCCAAGGACTACATTTCAGAAGTGATCCTGCATATTGGAAGGCACCTGTATCTTTCATGTAAGACCTCAGCAGATTTCAAATCCCAAAGTTAAACCCCAAATTTAGCTAAGGTGTCAAAAGTAGTCTGCTTCACTGACAAACCCCTGCACAATGCAAACATCTTCAGTGGCACTCAGGAAGTAGAAATAAATGTTTTCAGGTTACTCATGCAGTGGCGTTGTACTAAGTAGTTGTATTCTGGGCTGAAAAGTTCGGAAGTCCCTGGAGAGCTCCTCCCAACACCACATAACTGCAACACGTGCAGAGCCCCACATTCCTCTGCACAGGCACTGACACCTCTCCTCAACACCAAGTGCACATCATCAGGACCCAGAAGAAGGGCATCTCTGAAGCCAACAGAAGCTGGCAAAGGCTTGTGAGAGCTCACTGGGAACGACTGCCACAAGCCAGCACCCACAGGAGCCAGAGCATCACACTGAGGACTGGGGAGGGACTGGGTTTTGAGCTGCCTTCACTTCATCAGTGGAATTTTGACTCTTATCAAGAAAAACTGTCATCTTGCCACCAAGGCATTCAAGATCAGCACAGAGCATTTCTACTGCTTCATGTTAATCTGTTCACAGAACACACTCTAAAGAGAAAAAGGAAGCCTCTGTCTATAGGACAAAATAATAAGGGGGGGGGTTACAAAAACAAAATAGAAAAACCTTTGTATATAAAGAAACCTCTCTAGAAGCTACTAGAGACTACTTGCTACCAGCAAGGCATTACTCGATTTGCTAGATAGCTTAGTCCTCAACTTTGCTGAAAAGCAGTTAGTGTCAAACTGAGCATTTCAGTGTAATAACCAACATGGATTAAACTGTCCACTCAGAACTAGAGAGAACAAAAATCCACAGGCAGACTCAATTCCAATGTAGTCCCAGGCAAGACAAGCTGGTTGCTTCCCTCGCTAAAGTCACCTCTCCAGCCCTTGAGTGTTTAAGAACCTCTGTGAGGAGTTGACAGTAGAAAAGTAAAAGCAAAATGATGATTCGGATTGAAGGAAAAAAAAAGTACAGTTGAGTATGCTTAAATATACATCTTTATTTGACAACATCTAAGAAACTAGTGCTCTGTGCCCTGGAGCAGCTAAGATATCACATCCAACACTACTGACGTGTCAGGTAATTAGTCAATGTCAAACCCAATTTGCCTTTAGGGAAGTCAAAGTAGCAAAACATTCAGAGCTACACAGATCAAGAACAATGAATTCTTAAACCTTAATCTATAAAAATTTGAAAATGGTATGCCCTCACTTTCATAACCAGTCAGAAACAAGAAATGCATATTATACCTGTCTGAAATATTTCATCAAGTCTCTCTGCCACCTTCTGTGGGAGGCCTGCCTCTATCAGTGTCTTGTAGTGCTCTGTGTGAGTTACACTGGAAGTATCCATTGGTTCTTCCTCTTCTTTTAACTGTACCGCATTACCATTCACCTGATTAGCCATTTTATTATGCTGCTGGAAAAAATTCAGGAGCTATATTACAATAAGCCAGAAATAACTAGTTTGTAGGACAATGCATGATTTATCTAAACTAATTTGTATACATGCTGCAAATGACCTGTATCAAAAGTTTTATTTAATGCTTTTTGGATGCAGCTGATCTAAGTTTCAAAAGAAAGTACAACCCTTAATACTGTGGAAAATGTACATGGAATAATTTACATAATTTTCTTTAAAAATGTACTTCATGTACATAACGATGTCTAAACTTTATCTGCTGACTGTCAGAAGTTAACTGGTTACCATAGCAGCTTGAACGTACTGGGATATGATAATAACATCCTTCAACAAAGAGTCAGAAGAGCTAGTGCTATTTTCATTTTCCATTCCTCTACTTTTAAAACAATTGTTTAAAATTTAGCAAACACATAACCCTGCAGGGTAGCTTAAGGTATAAAAATGCCAATTCTTGTTTGCTAATTTTCACTTTCTCAGCTTGTTGCCACGTCTTTCTTTAAACCCAACGCGCTGCACGGACCAGCCAAACGCTCTGTCACGACACTGTCAGGACACGGTAAGGACAGAAAGGGAAAAAAAATCGCACTCTAACACACATTAGAATTTGAAGCTGCAACTGAACTGTTCCCATACTTTCAGTTTTACTCAAATAGATCTACAAATCACAGCTATTTTTTTATAATATAAAACTTACTGGTTTAAAAGGAAGCCAAGACTGCCACATCTCCAGTTCTTATATTAATAAAATCAATATAAAGACTTGCTTTCAGAATTAACAAACTGCAAATAAGTGCACTGAAAAATGCACAACTAACTCCTCAGACAATTCCACTGGGATTTGCCCAATTCATTAAGAACAGTTTCAATTTCTCAATGAGCCAGCCAGCTGATATTTAGCACTCCCAAATAAAAAGGCTGACAAGAAACAATACAACCACCCAGCAGAGAACATGGGGATGGGATGATCAGCTGTTGAGTTCAGAAATGAAATGAGCCTCAGGCTCAGCAGTGATGGTAACCAGACACACACAGCACGGTCCAAGCAGCCATGGAGCACTGGAGGTGGCCATGGAGATGATTCAAAAGCAGGTTTTTTAGAAAACGCTGAAACCTCGAGCTATTTACTGTGCTGCAAAATGAGTCTCCAGACACAAGCACACTTTACACAGTCATGGTGTGCCCATCCTCTCTAGACTACAGCTCAGGAATGTCAGGGAAGATCCTATGAAGATTTGCAAACTTGAGCAAGATATAAAAAAAATATTCTTCTTCAGACAGCAAAGCAACGATTTTACTAAAGCTGTTCTCAACTTGAAGGGCAATTTTAGAGTGCTGTAACGTGGCATCACACTGTTTCTCTGTCAGATGCTGTTTCTTTCTGCAGGTAAGAAGCACACATATTCTGCTACTTGATGAAGAAAAGCTGCTTTCTAGCCTATTCAGTTTACTTAAAAGCAACTATGACTAATTACAGCAGAAAAAAAACGCTATCTGAAGACTACAGTAATGCTTCCCTATCACTACAAGTATCAACCAAACTCTGAAAACTCTCTGAAGGTGAAGTTTCTACAGATCACAAAAATCATGGAAAAGAACAGCCAGCTGAAGGTCTGCTTGCTGGACAACTCTGCGAGATCTGCTCTGGGGGGACCTTATTGTGGCCTTCCAGTTCCTAAAGGGGTCCTGTAGAAAAGCTGGAGAGGGACTTTTTAAAAGGGCAGGTAGTGACAGGATGAGGGGGAATGGTTTTAAACTGAAAGAGGGGAAATTTAGACTGGATATTAGGAAGAAATTCTTTACTGTGAGGGTGGTGAGACACTGGAACAGGTTGCCCAGAGAAGCTGTGGGTGCCCCCTCCCTGTGTGTTCAAGGTGTTCAAGGCCAGGTTGGACGGAGCTTTGAGCACTCTGGGCTGGTGGGAGGTGTTCCTGCCCATGGCAGGGGTTGGACTGGATGAGCTTTAAGGTCCCTTTCAACCTAAATCATTCTATGATCTCAGATTTGAAACACTGCAGGGCAGAAGGGGTTCAGTTAAACCCAAAATGCTTTGGGTACAGCATCATTCTAAACCTCTTCTCAAAAATGCATAGAATGATATAGATGTACAAAGGCTGGGTTTTTTTGTTTTCACCTTCAGTAAAAAAAAATTAAATCAGTTACTTACTCATTTATTGTCTTCTCTATACACACAAAAAACCCACACAAAAAAAATCCCAAGAACTGTGAGCCTAAGCCAATACAGAAAAGTTTTTTTGAAACAATTTACAAGCACCTTCTAAAGTTCAATGGCTTATGGTGATGCTCCCAGACACTTTTTGGGGAACCCAGATTAGCCATCAAGTGTCACACACCCAAAAGTTCAGCACCATTCTCAGTGCTGACCATAACTGAACAAAAACCTGGTGGTTGTTCTGTGTCCAGGGAGAAGCCCCATCTGCAGGTCAGTAACTCCCATTTCTGACAGGCAAGAGTTGTTGCAGCCTAACGGCATGGAAAGAGCTCTACCTCCACCACCAAGACACACCGTGTGTGGAGCAATACCTAACCCCTGAGTATCAGATCAGTACGCAGCCTCACTGCTGACCAAATGCTTACTTAAGTAAGCTTTTAGACAACGTAAATTAAGTCTTAGCATTTTAATTCACTAGCTGTACGGTTTATTTTTGCTTAAGAATTAGTAGCCTCACAATGAACTTAAGTCAAATGCAGTGCATATTCACCAGCCAGAAAAGTTCGGTTTAGGTCTTCAAATTTTAGCTATTTTCTGTCACACAAACTTCATTTAAAAGACTCTCTTAAAGAAATTTACTCTAGAAAATTCTGAGGTGACACAGATATCAAAACATTCAAGTCCCGACAGCATTCAGAAGAAATGTATTTATTTTCAGTTATAGTAATAGATGCCCTGCTGGTTCTGCAAGCTTGGCCTGAATTCTGAGACCAGACTGACTTTTCTTCCTGAATGACCACCAACAAGAAAATTACATCTCTTATAACACTGAACCTGCACTGAGTTAAGCAGAGATACGTGAGTGGCAGTGATAGCTGAAAAAGATCATTCAGCTCACCGTCTAGGTAACATCAGCTCGATGGAGCTATCAAGAAAAATATTTTTAACTGGATTTTAGCAGTAAGGAAAGCACACAATGATTTTATTAAACTTTTAATATTTTTAGAAGAGCACAAAAAGTTTATTAATTAAAAAGAATGATAACTGTGTTTGCATGCACAGTGTGCCCATGAGACTCAGCCTATGCCAGGCCAGGCCACACAGAACAGCACCCGTGCGCACTCAGGAGCTTCTCATCTGTATTAAGTAACCGAAATATCTAGAAATGAGGGAGACTGGTTGAATCAAAGAAATTTTAAGTGTGGATTTTAAGTAAAGGATTATGTATGTTAGTACGTGTGGGATATGCTTCTGTTTTAAAAGCATGCAGAAATGGATTAATTTAAAACCGTGTACACAAAAGTGCACTTATCAAATGAGCAGCAGGAACAAATACACATTGGGGCAACTTTACACAGGCGAGAATTTCCACCTGGCTTCACCACCCTGGAGCTGCAGAACTTGGGGAAGGAAGGGGAGCACTGCCTTGTTTCAAAACTTCACACTGTTGTTACCAACAATGTTTTTTCTCAACACGTGAATTCTTAATGATAAAGATGTTTTAGCCATCCATTATCTTTCACCTGCAAATCCTGCACCACAAAAGAGTAATCTGCCAAGTGCCTAGTCCCTTTTTTAAAGCTCTAATCATAGGACAAGTAGGAGGTTAAAACTAGAGGTGCTTCTAAATTACCCAGAAACAAGCTTCTTTTTTCATTTTTAATAACTCAAGTGGCCCAAATAGTAATTTGCCTAGAAAATTAAAAAAACTACACACCTGAGCCTAACAGCATACAGCATCTTGAAAACAGAAACCTGATCTCAGCCTCAATCCGACAGTCACTGATTGCTATGATGTTACTATTCCCTGTATTTTATACCATGCCTCTAGCAGAGGTTGCCACCCACAGACTAAGAATAACTCCATCCAATTAATTATAAATTCACAGTCTAGTTAAGCCAAAACATGCTTCGTAACAGCTTAAA